TCCTCGATTTACGACCGGTTTAGTCCTCGACTTATGACCGGTTTAGTCCTCGACTTATGACCGGTTTAGTCCTCGACTTACGACCAGTTGGGGGTCGCGGCATTAAAAAGGTTGAGAATCACTGGTTTAAGGTTTAATGTGAATTTTTAGTTTTTAAAAATGTTAAAATGTACACAGTTATTTATAATCAATTAATGAAACACTAAAACTTTACAATAGTGTTGAATATCTGTAGCTCAGGTGTAGGATGAGGGCGAAGTTTCATTCTCCGAGTTTGTGTGTTGGTTTCCAAACGTTTCATTAAAATGTTAGTAGGTGACATTTTCAGTGGAGTTCAGTGTCAGTGATCTTCTGTGTGGTCAGTGGGTCTTGTGATGGGTCAGTTGTGGATGTGACAAGTGAAGTGATGGGTCAGGTGTGGTTGTGTTAAGTGAGGGTCTTGTAATGGGTCTTGTGATGGATCGGTTACATCAGATAGAATTGGTGGGACAAAACTAACTCTACCATACAGAAAAGAGGTGTCGGAAATGACAGCCAGAATTCTCCAACCCCTAGAAATAGCAATAGCCTACAAACCCACAAACAGTGACACTCCACCAGGAATTATCCAGAACCAAAAACAAGATACTAAAGGATGAAAGAAACAATGTAATCTACAAAATCAACTGTAACACTTGCGACCAATTCTACGTGGGACAAACATCACATCAATTAAAAACCAGGATCCACGAACACCGGCTGGCAATTAAATGCCAAGATCCCAAATCCTTAATCTCTACCCACACCGACACCAAACAGCACCAGTTCGATTGAAACAACACAAAAACCATTTGCCACGCTACCACCCACCATGCTCATGAGTTCATTGAAGCCTGGCACTCCACAAGTGATTCCATCAACAGACAGATTGACCTACAACCAGCCTACGAACCCCTTGAGAATCCAAATCAACTGCTTAGCCAACCAGAGGCAGCACTGACCCTCAAACAACCCACGCAAGCCCCATCCCCTGTCAGCACTTCACCTCCCAATGACCCTGATCCGATGTAACCTCCCCATCACAAGACTCTCACTTGACACACCCACAACTTACCCATCACAAGACCCACTGACCACACCGAAGCCTTTATAAGCAGAAGAACACTGACACCGACATCCCCTAAACTCCGCTGAAGATGTTACCTAGCCTGATAGCGAAACGTTCAGAAACCAGCCCACAAGCTTGGAGAATGAACCTCCACCCACACTAAAACTTTAATTTCAAGGATGTTTGCAAATCCCTTGTTTTTTTTCACTTCCTTTCTACTCTTTTACTTAGCTTGTTATTCTTTTTCTTTGTCTGATTAAAATGTTCAATAATACATACAAGAATAAAAGGAATAATTTTACTGAAATAAAACAAGATTATCAGGTGATTTACTAGGAGGTCTTTGCTAAAAAGACCTTTTCTACCTCCAGAGAATCTACATTCAATTTGCCTTCCCACCCCCCACCTCCCCCACCCCTACAGGAAAGGTGACTGAGCAGGCTATAATGGAGAAATGTGATGGACAATATAGATATTTAGACCCTTTTTAGCTACCCAGTCAAAAACTTCTGCAAGTAGTCATCGACTTACAACCACCATTGAACCCAAAATTTCTATTGCTAAGCAAGACAGTTGTTAAGTGAATTTTGCCCCATTTTACGACCGTTCTTGCTACATTTGTTAAGTGAATCATTGCAGTTCTTAAGTTGGTAACATGGCTGTTAAGTGAATCTGGCTTCCCATTGACTTTGCTTGTCAGAAGGTTGCAAAAGGTGACCACATGACCCTGGGACACTGCAGCTGTCATGAATCAGTTGCAGAGCATTTGAATTTTGATCACATTAACCATGAGGATGCTGCTGTGGTTGTAATGTGAAAAACGGTCATAAATCACTTTTTTCAGTGCCATTGTAATTTTGAATGGTCACTAAATGAACTGTTGTAAGTTCAGGACTATCTGTACTAAGCACAGAAATAGCTAATATATGGCTCTTTAGTTATTACTAAATAACAATTTCTAGAACTAACTAACTAACAAAATAATGTGAAATTGATTGTATTTCAATATATAGAGAGACAAAGGTTTCTACTCATTTCCAGGTATTAGTTGTAGCAAACACAAATCCAGATTTTTTTTCTGTTCTTATTATATATATTTTAGCTAAGTCTATTATTTCATTTTATTCCTTAATATTTCTATGCCACTTTCTAGAACTTCTCTTCTAGATCTTTTTGGATCGACAGACTTAGTTTATTATGGGAGATCTGAGATAACCAAGTCCTGAAGTGATCCTGTAGGAATTTGAAGGTGATTTTCATCACTTTGATTTGTACTTGGAACCTGATTGGCATGTAAGTAGTTTACAGGGTAGACGTGTTAGATGGGCAGCTCTTGAAGAGCTCATTATTACCTGGCAAACTAGTGGTTTAAGCTCCTAGAATCTAGATGGTCTTTAAGGGCAGAATCCTGAATACATTAAATAGTCCAATTGTGAAGTGATAAGGGTTTGCGTAACTGTGTGCAGTGTTTCCTGAGCCAGAAACATTTGCAATGGGTACACTAAATATCATCATATTTGCTGCTCAAGTAAGTGCTAAACATCCAGGAAAACCCTAAATCATGAATAGCCTCTGTCCAAGAGGCTTCAACCTTCTTCAGAAACAGAGAGATGTATCTTTAGAATCAGAGGATTTCCATATCCACAGCCAATTTTTCTTTCAGAATTAAGTCTTTTCTTCCTGATCCTATTTCTAACGTCCTCTAGGCATCAAAACAATGCCCTCAGCATATCACTTTTCTGACTGTGGGCAGCAATGCATAACTGGATAATACTGTATACTTATACTTCACCCTATGCTGATATATCACTCCCCCTGTGGCTTCTAGGCGAGTCACTCTCCCTTTATCCTAGTTTTGTCAGAGATCATCAAACAGGGTAACAAAGTTATTTTCAATCCTATGTCAGGGCCTGAACCCAGATTGATATGCAATTAATCTGTTTCCTTCCGAAGTCTCTGTATGGTTTTTTTTTTAAGTCATTAAGATCATTTTTCTGAGATTTGTAGATTTCTTCAGACATGACAGAAAAAGATTAAGAACCTTTGTTTTAGACTGATATTTGCCAATCAATGCCAGTCAATCATAATCAGTGAAATGGATAGGAACAAATAAATTAGTTTATTTTATTCTTCATCTATTCTCCCTGGAGCACTGAATAAAACAGTTTCATATCAATTGTGATGAAATTATCAGGGGAAGAATTACATATGATAGGATTACAGAAAGGAAAATAAGTAGTTTGGGAAAAAGACTGGCAAGCTAGAATAAAATTGTTTGGAATGGTAGCAAAGTAAACAAGATATATGATATCCAGGCTCTTCCTTTCTGGCAAGGTAAAGATGGCCCAGAAATTTTAAATAATGGAAGTTTTATGACCCTACAGGTCATATAAGCAACTGATGAAAGAGATTGATTACATTGAAAGTCTGGTACTTTGGAGAACATGGTTACATTCAAATAGTTTGAAAACAAAAACAAATCTCCCAACAGCAATAAAACATCCATCTTGTCTAGACAGAAGTTAAGTTTATAGAGTTACATGCACTTTATTCCTGATGTAAATATGGATTTAGAAGTTCCCATAATAAATAGTGATATTACATTTTTCCATCTATAACACTCCAATAAATCTGTGAGTGGGTTCACATAATATATTATCAGACTACAATGTGGAGGGCTAATTTAAGGCTCATTGTGGTTTGTAAGCATAGGTAATTGGTTTCATTCAGAAAAGCATTCAGTTTATGGACCGTGAGTTACCATGAGTTGTGCAAAAATAGTCTCTGTGTGTCTGTGGCTCACTACAGAGGCATCTTAAGGATAAGTTGAAACAATGAATTTCAAGCAGCTTGAATAAAGGAAACTGAACAGCAAGGTAGCAGGTTGTCAAATTCTCATATGTTCCAAAACTAAAGTGGCTGTTTTCAAACACAAAGGCAATTGTCTCACCTCAGAAGTTAATGCCAAACATTTATATGATAGCAACAATTTATTTATTTACAAATGTAATAAAACCACTAATGCATGCAAGGCTTTAGGTTGCTATTCCAATAAACCAACAGATCTCTAATGAGTACACCATCACTCCCACACATAATGCTTCTGTACATCTGGCATGCCACTGAATCTGTCTTAAAAACTGACACCAGGACGAGCCTACGAGGCGACGCCAGATTCCCCTGCCCTGCCTTCTGCATCGGGAGCAGCTTTAGCCGCGGCAGACATCTGCACCCGAAAAGAAAAAGACCTCCTCGTGTGTGGTCTCTTCGGGGGGGGGGCTGCTGGATATAGGAAGCAAGCTCCTTATCACCAGTTTGGGGACGTTCAAAAAACGCTTCTTCGAGATGTAGTAAAGGCTTCAGCCAAGGCTCCGAGGGTGGGGCGGCCGGGTCCCGCTGACGGCCGCGTGCAGGGAAAAAGGGGAGAGAAGAGCCAAGCGATCCGTCCGAGGCAGGTAGGCAATACTCACCCCCGCCGCCTCCGACCAGGACCGCCGCCCTGGAAGGAGAAGCACCGCTAAGAGGAGCGCGATGCCCGGCCCCGCCAGGCTGCTGCCCATCGCCGGGAAAATGCTGACCGCCCCACCGGTGTTCACACGTGGCCGTGCCCAGCGGGGCTGATAGTGTAAGCCTCCTTTCCCGTGTCCCGCCTGGAGCGTCTCAAGCACCGGAAAGTCGAGCTTGATTCTTGGGCCCCGCTGGTGGGCGGCGGCGGCCGCTCCTTTCCCCGCCTGTCTCCGCCCCCCCCCCCCCCCCCCCCCCCCCCCCCCCCCCCCCCCCCGCGGCCCCTGGGACAGCGTGAGAGCCAGGAGAGCCGCCAAGGAGGAGTCGGCCGGTTCCGCTGTCTCCCGCGCCCGTTCAAAGCCAGGAGCCCGTCGCCTCCGGAGGAACGATGCGGGCTGGTCGAGCGGCAGCCTGAGGGAGCTGGAAGGTGAGTCCATTACCTGCAAAAGGCGCGAGCGCCTCAACTTCGCCGCCCTCGGCTTTGAGCCCTCCTCGGGAGTCGCGCTCTCTCGCTCCCTTCGTGGCCCCGGATGCCGGAAAGCTCCTCGGTCGCTGCTTTCGAGCGTCTCAGGGCTCCGGGTGTGTCTCCCGGCCTCGCGCTAGCCCGGAAAGCCCCCTAAGGAGAAAAGGTTCTTCCACCCGGCGCCTGGTTTCTGAGGGAAGCGCAGCTTTCCTTTGGAGTCGGGAGAGGCGGGGAATGTCCTCCATCGTCAACCTGGGGGGGTCTTTTTAGCCTCTCCAGGAGGAAGGAGCCGCTTAACTTGACTCTGGTGAACCTTTGCAGGTTGCGCTAATCCCCCTCCTCTCTCCTGCCACGTGAAAAATGCATGCCTCTGCCCGCCCTAAAGTGTTCCCTTTGATTTCTAGGACCATCCTTTTTCAACAAGGAGAAAATAAGCAGACATGAAAAGTACTCCACACTTCAGCTTAGGATGCTGGACTGGGCAGTAAGTAGATCTATTTCTTTCTGCAGTTACTGCCATTTCCACTGGAAGGGAAAGTATTGTAGCATTTTTTTTTAAGTTGCTGTAAGACATTCAAAAAAGAGCCGGCCTGGCCATAAGGTGGTGAATTATAACCATTTCAATCTTGTCTTGGTACAGGGATATGCAAATTATCCTCCTGATGGTATTGACTGTGCTTCTTCCTGCCAGCGTACAAGCTGTAAGTATGTCATCATCATTTAAAAAAATCAAAACAAAACCATGAGAAACATTTTTAGGGTTGCTTCCAAGTCAAGCCAATTCTGTTGCCAGAGTTCTTCAATCACCTTTGCTGTTTTTCAGTAGTGCACTTTTTACTATTTTTTTTCTACGAAACAGTTTGAACTCCCCTCCCCATTTCTCTCTGTTCAAAAATATGCCTTAAAGTATGAATACAAAGTATTTTTAAGGCACAGCATTTAAAAATGTAACTCACATGAATTGATTTGTTTCATATATGTTTTAAAACAATAAGGAAAGTATCAGTCATGTTGGTTTTTAGACACTGTTTGTAATGTTTTTATTGAAGTATAAAAACTAAACAACCCATATTTGCAGAATCTTACAACCAATTGAACTATCACAAGTTTTCCAATTCTCCAGGACCTCTTCTGAAGCAACTCATGAGGGAGACAAAGTCAGGCTGATAGGAACTACTTTGACTATGTGTGCATGAATGATTGACATGCTAACAAGCCAACCAAAGTTTGGGCTACCATGCTCTGTGTACCTTGCCTTTATAGCTAGTTTATGGTATAGTTTATATTTTATGGTAATCCCCAAACTTCTGCTCCATACAAGAGCATAGTGGTAACCTTAGCTTTATATACCTTAATTAATGGGGCTAAGGACCCTGGATAATTATGGTTCTTTAGTTTAAGCAGTAGATTCAGGTGGGCTTTCACTCTAAATGTACTTCGTTGATGATGGCAAACCCAAGATCCAGTCTTGGAAAAAGTTACGCCCAGATATACAAAGGTGTTAACCTGTTCAATTGGTTCACCATCTAATTGCCATTTATGTCTCTGATGGTGTCTCCCAAACACCATTATTTTTGATTTAGTTTTACTAATGATTAGGGAGTTATCCTGACAGTAAGAGCTGAATCTTCTTAATAGCCTATGTAATCCTACTTGTGAATATGATAATAAAATCATATCATCGGCATAAAGCAAGCTGTTACAGTAAGTATTTAGGATCATCGGCATATGTACCATGGGATCCTTCATTAACCCTGGCAAATCATTGATATATAAACTAAATAATAATGGGGCCAGGATATACCCTTGCCTTATCCCTTTATTTGTCTGAATCCTGTTAGTCAGAGCCCCATTAACCCCATACCACACCCTCAAACAGGTACTTTAATCAAAGCCAGGAGTCTAGGTTCTATTTTAAGAGATGTCAATTTACTCCATAGTACTTCTCTGTTTACCATATCAAATGCTGCTGTAAGGTCTATGAAAGCAGCAAACAGGGGTCTCCTCTTATAGGCATATTTGGCAATTAGATGGTTCAAAACAAAGCAGTTATCAATAGTAGATCGGCTTTGTCTAAAACCTGCTTGTTCTTCTGTGAGGATATTGTTTTCCTCTACCCAGATTTCAATTCTGTTCATGTACCTAGCACATATTTTTGCTGCAATATCAATCAGGCTAATGGGCCTATAATTACTAGGGTCCTTATTATTCCTTTTTTATATATAGGGACAACTATTGCCATCTTCCACCCATCTGGTATATGGCAGGTGTTATTTATGTGTATAAAAAGACCTGCCAATACAGGACCCCACCAATTGGGAAATTTCTTGAATAATTCTGCTGGTAAAAAATCCTCACCTGGGGCTTTATTGCTCTTTAAACTTTTGATGATGGATTGTATCTCCTTTTCTGAGACTGGTGGCCAAGAGGGGGAAGTTCTAGGGTTTACTAAATCAATGCTTAAAGACAGTTTCTCTACCGGTTCCGTGGAAGCAAACAAACACTGATAATAATTCTCCCAGTCCTTGGCAGAGATTGGTATGTCAAACCCTTCAGGACACCTGCTACAGAATGCCAAAATATTATTGAGTTATGACTTCTGGCAGCCAACTTGAGTTCTGACCAGATTGAAATGGCAAAGCTTTTTTTCTTTAATGTTATAGTTTTTTTATATTCCCTTCTTGTGTGCAACATCTTAGCTTGTATATGGGCAGTAGGATTCCTCTGGGCAAGCCTCATGGCTGCCTTCAATTTCTTTTTCAGTCGCTGGCATTCAGGATCAACCCAGCGAGGTCTACCCACTTGGGCTATTTTTGTAGCAGGTTTAGCTGTTAGATGTTTCTTCAGAATGTTACAGAGATTGGAGAATGCATTGAAGGCTGACATCCAGTCAGCAGTAGATGACTGGGTTGTTTTTAATAGCATTCTCTGTTTTAAGGCATTCTAGTATTGCCTTTGTATCAACTTTGGCCCAAATTAACCTTTTATTTTGGGTCACCTCTACCTTTTTGGTGAGCCATCTATCAGCCATATTATATGGTCTTAAATCTGAGCGGCCTCGCAGTGTCACACTTACAGGCTCGTGGTCGCTATGTACTGTGACCTCCGAAAAGAGGTCAGCTTTATCTCTAGACACACAAAAGAGATCCAGTACACTGCTTGAACTGGCCGAGTGGTATGTGTAAGGATATGTGTAATTCTTATCCTTACCTCCCAGAATTTGGAGATTACCCTTAAAAATTAAGGAGACTAGGAGCAGGCCAGCAGCATTACTTTTGCAGTCTCTCGAAAGCCACTGAGGATGGTTATCAAAAAATTCCCCTGGGACTCCCTTCTTCTGGGCGAGCTCATACAAAGAGGGACCCAACCGAGCATTCAAATCTCCTAGTAATACCACTATGGACTGAGGGTACAATACAGATATATCTTCTAGAACAGCGGTTCTCAACCTATGGGTCGCGACCCCATTTGGGGTCGATCGACCATTTCACGGGGGTCGCCAAGCAAGGCTGTCCGCCATTTTTCCCCCCTTTTCCGGCGGGTGCCTTACCTCCCTTGAGCTGGGCCAGCTGGTGGTCGGCCTGCTCCGTCTCTGCCGCTTGCCAGCTATGCCTCGGCCGGCGCAGGGGGCGGAACCACACATGCGCGGCACTCCCGGGCAGGGAAAGTCCTCGACTTACGACCGGTTTAGTCTTCGACTTATGACCGGTTTAGTCCTTGACTTATGACCGGTTGGGGGTCGCGGCATTAAAAAGTTTGAGAACCACTGTTCTAGAATAACTTCCAAGCCCATCCAACATTCAGAGTTATAATACCGAGATGTGATTGGTGGGATATACACATTTACCAGTATTAACTCAAACTTTTCATATTCAAATTTAACAGCTAGGAAGTACGAATACTTATCTTCATTATATAGTTTCTCCCCCTGCCATTGCAACTCTTGCTTTATAAGAATGCATAGTCCACCAGAGGGTCTCCCTTTGTTCTTTGTTTTTTGGGCTGGGGAGGCCCATCCCTGAAAACCTGGCAGTTGTACTGGTTCATCCACTTCGGTTAACCAAGTTTCTTGAAGGGCTATTACATCAAATCTAGGGAGAAAGCTCATTAGTCCACTATCGACCATCCCTTTCCAGCCAGCTACGTTCCAGGTCATCATCTGTATGGGCTTCTCGGAGGCAAGGTGGTCTGGCTTGGTTGATTGGCTAGATGGTAAAAATGCCAGACGTCAACTTGACATTGGAGCCAGGTCGATATCATCTATGCTTCCCATATAAAGACAGTTGTGAGGTTCGATATTTCTTCTCGTGGGTTGCAGAACGTGTTGTTGCTCCTCTATATCTCAATTGCCAGTGTCCCTCTGCCCTTGCTCCAGGGATAATTTTTTTTCAAATGGGCAGGTACTCCAGCTTAAATCTATAAATGTAGATTTATGTCCATTTTTGGAAGGGTGTAGCTTTTTTATCACAGCTGTTCTTTATTATTAAAGCTTTGAAGGTCACAAACACATTAGCTTTTCCCAGGTTTTGGCAAGTTGTCTATGGAAATCATAGCTGTCAAAATCTTCATCCTCCACTAGGTGTCAGCATCTATTTAGTTTTCAGTATGAACAATGGTCTTTACAATGAGAGTCTTAACCATTCAACAATCTTAAACTTGTTCAAAGTTAAATTTTAGCTTTCAAGTTTATAAAGTTATTTCACTACCATATATTTTGATCCTCCATAGAAATTTTAATTCGCCGCTTCTGTTAATATAAGGATGGGGCGGAAGTCCCCCTCCTTCACTTTCGGAGGTATTTTGCTTCTTGGGGATCTTTTCCAGGAAATTAAGTATAGAATAGAAAAGGGAAAATCGGATTCCTCACCCAGTTTCAAGCATGTTGTTTACTGTAGTGCTGGTTAGTTCTTTTGGACTCTGGTTGCAAGTAGCTTGGGATGATCGATGAAATACAGCCTTTCTCCTGTCGGGTTTGAAGGCTTACCCCAAGACAAACGGAATGGCCGCTGTCATTCCAGAGTCACCGGGGCACCCTTCTTTCTTCTCTACCTCTCCAGGGCGGCTTGGACTCATTAGGGTCTCCAGACAGGATGAAAGTTGGCTGTGGGGGTGTGGCAGTCTGCAAGCCCATGACCAGTTGCTACCGTGCAGGACCGGAAGTCCGGTTTTGGTCATTTCTGTTGTGCTGGGTGATTACCCACGAAGCACGTTTTTTTGGGGGGGGATCCCCACTCCGGTTGCTAAGCTTGCTTAAACCCTCTTCCTCCTCCTTCTCATTGGAGCCTCCCTTTGTCTGCAATGGTGAGGCAGGAAGACCCCTGCCAGGCCGGGGATGATGGGGATCTGCCCTCTGCAGAGTAGGGGCAGGGTTACTATGCTCCTGTCAATCAGGTTTGATTTCCTTTCTTTGCCCCCATTCCCTCCCTGCCTCCCCTGCTTGTAGCTGCCTCTGAGCCTCTCATTTTTGGGAGTTATCATTGCCGGCATCTCTTTCTCCTGAGCCCCTCGTGCTGGGTAACTGTTGCCACCCAAGAGCTGTTTTAAAGTTAGGGAATCCTTGGAGGATAGCCAACTAGCAGCCCAACACCCCCCATGCCTCCACTTCAAGTGCAGAAGCTGCACCCCCCCCTCCAAAGCCTCTGCAATCATCTATCAGCTTCTTTGAGTCAGCCAGAAGAAGAGAAGGGGATAGAACAGTGCA